AAAGTCTTGATTATCAGAGGATTTCAGTCTTTACTTCTGTTATTCAGATTAGTTTTCAAACAGTATTATGTACAATGATTTAATAAGATATGATTTGTATCTGTCTGCATGCTGCTTCTTGGTGCCTAAAAGTGTACCTAGGCCCTGGCATGCATGCATGCTCTGTCATTGATTATACTCTCAGTATGGAACACTTGTTTAGTGATTGAGATGACAAATTATTAGTATATAAGGTTATCCCTTTAATATTTATAAATGAAATTGTTAAAATTAATATTTAAGGAACAATGTGCTAGATATGTGGTGGACAAATAATGCACACAATCTCTAACATATGTGGTTCACATAAGAAGAAAATGGCCACAATTCTACTGTCTAAATATTTTAATAAGTGAATGTTCATAATTTGGAAGACAAGTATGCAAATTGTTAATGGTTACTCAGGGTAACTGTAAGAACCTTCAGCTACTAATGAGGCTCACTATCAGAATATACGGTTAGCAGGTAAGAGGTCCTATATTTAATATCCAATAGCAAAAAAATAAAGTGGAAAATATGTAAACACATTGGCCATAAAAATTAGAAATTTTGTAGTAAAAACAGGTAAAATGGGCAACATTTAAGAGACAGAGATAGATGCATGTCTATCAGCTTGAGGCCATCCTGGTCTACATAGAGAGTTCTAGAACAACCAGACCTACATAACGCAAGATGCTGTCTTCAAAGAAGAAGGAGGAAGAGGAGGAGGAGGAGGAGGAGGAGAAGGAGAAGAAGAAGAAGAAGAAGAAGAAGAAGAAGAAGAAGAAGAAGAAGAAGAAGAAGAAGAAGAAAAAGAAGAGGAAGAAGAACCCCTCTCTCCCCGCCCCTGAAAAAACAAACAGGCAAAAAAAACAAAACCCAAAACATGTAAAGTGTATTTTGTTGTGTGATATTGAGCTAAAGTAAAACATAAGGTGAAATAGAGAAATTGGGTTAGTAATATACATTATTCATTACACCTGAAACTGCTAAAGTAGATACCAAGAGAGAAAAAAAAATTATTAATGGAGGATATGCAAATGCTTCATTTACAAT